ACTTATATGTTGGATGTATTGGATGTATTGGTTGGTGTTTTGTCACTGTAGCTATGGTTGATGTTGTAGGTATTGTCTCCGTTTCGGCCGAAGTTGAAGGAGTTGCAGGATGCAGCATCTCCAGCGCTGGCCTCTTCTGATCTTGGGTAGGTGTTGTTGGTGAGGAGGCAGGTTTTCTACCCCTTTTCTTTGATTTTGGCTTTTTAAAGCCGTCGTCCTGGGAGGCCGTGTCCGATTCGGACTGTGAAGTCCCGGGATGCATCTTACTTTTAGGACAGACCCGGTATTATTGGTTGTCCAAAAAACTACCAAAATTCCTCGCAGTTTGCGAATATCTTAGGTATTTATATACGCTCGCACTGGTACGTCCGTATGCTACCGAGGTTAAAGCGCGAATCGCGCCTTTTCATTGTGCACAGAAATACGGAACAGATTATGGTTTCTCGCCTCAAAATTCTGCCGATTTGAATTGTAAATAAGGCCATATTCAAGAAGCAGACTTACAAAAAAGTATCGTTTTTTCTCGGTTTCTCAATCTTAACTTGCACTCCCCATGAAGCTTTCTTCCGAGAAATATATGCTAGATATTTTGCTCAAATATTTCAGGGTCACAAAGTATATTTTTATCAGCTGTAGGTATAAAACACTTCTACAACCATTTAAATTGTTTATTTGTACTTACATACATTTCCTGCTTGTATTTTAATGAAAGTTCAAACGTTTCTTAACGCTCGCAATTAGTATCACGATCTGATTCCTTAGTTAATTTTAAATACCTACGTTGAAGTTGCATTAGATTCTCAGTAGGTATAACATACTATTCAGTTTAAATCTGAATATCTTTTATTCGCTTGTCCAAAACGGAGACTTTGCTGCAAATCAAACAAATCTACTTTTTGTCTAAAATGTATATTTTTAATGGCAAAAGATTGGTAGATATCTTGAATATGAGTAATTCCAGCGCCCGCCATAAAGATCTCTAAATACGCGATATTTCACATTTTCCACGACGCGTTAAAATTATCGACCCTGCAGTTTCGAAACGTTGCATGCAAAACAATTTACAACATACGAGGGTTGCTAAAAGGGGTAGAAGAACATTTTTCTACAGATCTAATTCCGCTGGGGGGTGGAACTGTTGGGGTGGATCTAATTTGTTGGGGAGGTCCGAAATAACGCCAGAGGGTGCGACATTGATGAAATATATGTACATGTCTGGAGATTCTTGGCCTACAGTAATTACATTGTAGGGGGCTCGATAATAAAGTCACGTTCAGTTCGAATTATAGAATGCTGCTCAAAGTGATCAGTTTAGAACAACATTTGTGTACAGGGTGCAGATACTCAAAGCTGCAGAACAAGTTTGTGAGTCGTTTTAACGAAAAATGATCATATTCAAAATGTTTCAGGTTTTTGCTGTTTTGGTTGCTATTTCACAATACAATCTAAATTAGGATTTTATATGCTAAAAATGTATGTATGGTCTTACGAAAAATATCTGGAATGCGGTAGCATTTTTATTTTGTCGTTTTTTTCAGTCAAATTCCCAAAAGGATTATCAATTATCTTCATTACTCACTTATTTTCGAAACACTACATATATATAAAAACTAACCCAGTGAAAGAAGCGAAAAAATAATGGCTTATTAACTCAAAAAGTAGCCCTAAGATATACAGGGGTTATCCATTTTACGCTTGGGAAAGTAAAATAAAAGAAACAATCAAAATATTTAGATGGAGACGAGAATTTTAATTCAATATACAGATTTAACCTTGCCATTATACGTGAAAACAATATCATTTAAATGTGCTCCACGGGACCTCCTACAGCCCTCAATCCTTTTGAGCGAATTTCGAATGACTTCAGCACATTACCGGTAACATCTCGATCATAACTTCATGGATATTTCTTTTCAGTTGCTCAAGAATTTGAGGATTGTTGGCGTAAACACGATCTTTCGCATAACCCCCCAAAAAGAAATCTAACGGTGTTAAGTCAAAGGATCTTGCGGGCCAGTTGAAATCACTCAATCTCGAAATTACGTGTCCTGGAAATTTCTCTTGCATTTCTCTTCTCTAACTGCCAGTGTTGTGTGACTCGTTGCCCAAGCCTGCTGGAACCAGATGTCTTCCAGATCATAATATTCAATTTCTCTTCAATAATAATCGGTTAACATGCGTCCATAGCGCTCGGAATTGACTGTTATGGCTCTTCCTTGATCGTTTTCAAAAACTTACGGGCTAATAACACCACCGGACCATAATGCACACCATACGGCCACTTTTTCAGGATGCAAAGGCCTTTCTGCGATCACCTGAAGATTTTGAGACCCCCATATACGGCTGTTCTGTTTATTCACGTAACCACCGAGCGAAAAATGAGCCTCATCGCTGAAGAAAATTTGGTTCGAAAAATCATTATCAACGGCTTGTTGTTCAATCACCCAATTTGTGTATGTTCTGCGTTGCCCATGGTCTTGAGTCAGTTGATCTTTGTACCGATGGAGCTTCAAATCCAATTTTAAAACTCGCCTCAATGAGCCGCAAGACAAGCCCAAATGTTGAGCATGTCGGGGAATCGATGAATTCGGGTCTTCCTCCACACTTTGAGCAACAACAGTAATATTTTCAGCTGAACGAATGTTGCGATGATACACAGGCCTTACAATATTAGTAACCGATCCAGTCTTTCCAGTCAGACATTGTTTCCTCTGTGGGTCGATTATGTCGACCGTAATCTGCTCGTAAGGCTGCATCAACGTTTAGACGTTGATACAGCAGAATCACCATTTTCATAGTAACATTTAATAATTTTTACGCGTTCTTCGACAGTTAAACGATCCATATTCCAAAATGGGACCCCTTCAACTAAAACAAAAACGTTGATATGTAACATATCATCTCGCTGTAACTATCAAAAAGTATGATTTGATTTATTATCCTTGATATTTTTGCTTGCCATTAACAACTTCAATATAAGAGTGAAAATATACTTTTTGCCCATGTGTTTTCACCCAGTTTATATCTGATATACATAAAATCTAGTAGTTTTCCGCAACGACGCACTGAAAAGTGTTTCAGCGACGTACGTAAATATTTCAGAAATTTTTTGGTTTAACCGATCCTCTTATATTCGGCGCAGTTACTTTCACTTTCAACGTTCCTACTTAGAAAACCCAAATTATGTTCAAGTTTTGTGTTTGACGTGTCGTCGTTTGGATTGGTTAGGTAAAATAGCTGCTTAAAGAAATTGAAATACATGCCTCAATCTTAGAGTAGTTTATTTTTATTTAGAATACATCGATTAACTTAAAAATAAGCCTGGACACTCACAGCAAACTTAAATACAATAATTAAAACATCCTACTTACATTAGTTCGTCCAGGCGCTACGAAATAACAGTATGCGATTGAATTTTGTTCCTTCTTGTTGGATACATTTCGATATTTTAATATTCGTTAAGGAAAACTATGCCTTGAAAAATGTGAACACATTGGATATAATTCAAAAAATATACAAGAGGGGTTTATATTTCCTATATAAAAAATAGTTCTGTTATATTGTGCATTCGTAGTTAGAAAACTGTTTTGACATCCAATTATTATTATTATTATTTTGAACCAAAATTGCCAATAGTGTTGTGTAATAGAACTTTTGTCGATGGTACCTCAAATTGAAAGCAGCAAGTTAGAAAAAAGAGCAAAGTTAGAAAAAAACATTAAAGTTTGTTGGGTATTTCTATAATCACGGGTTGCTGGAAATTTGTAAAGATTACTGGGAAATGCAACTAATTGGGTAACTAGCACTTACAAGAATAAGAAAGTCACCTTTCGTTGTGTTTTATTTCAATTAAACACATCTCCCTCTGGGAGACAAACTTTATATAATGCCAAAAAAGTTTCTGACCAGATTATAAATGCTTTTCAAATCGCACTTCTGAAATGTCTGAAAAAATACAGACGTCGTTGCTGAAATAATTTGAAAGTTAATACAAAAAACTTCCAAATTGCTCCAGCTAATTAAATTATATTCTACAAGTTTGTTTATTTACATTTGTCCGAATTTCTCCACCAGGAAATCTAAAACCAGAGTCCACAAAATGCTTTTATTTATTAATTACAAATGAAGAATTGCTTTAAATTTCAATACGAAAATAGTCCTAAGTCCTAAACACAAACCACATCACTATACACTCGTGAACACGGGTCTTGGAATGACCGCACAGTACATGGCTATTTATTACAAATACATAGGGAAAATTTTACTACAAAATCAATTCTTACATTTACAACGCTTTTTCACTTTTGTTCATTATTACATCGGACTAATCGCTCGTTTTAGACGGTTACAGTCATACGTACATGTATTTATTTATTATTATATAAATTATGTGTGTAACTGGCACTTATCTACGTTTCTCTATTTACAAAAATAAATCTTCACTGACATTATTTTGCGATAAAAATGGCTGGCTTGCGGTGACGTGAGAGCTTGTAAGACTTTTAATAAAAACGTGTCCGCCGTACGATTTTGAATGAAAGGAATAATTGAGCAAATCCGAAGACCAACATTTTTAATATTGACGAAGTTAAGATCAAAAATCTAAAAATGCGTTTGCTTGGTTTGTCACCACTGTCTATATCCGCAAGTGGCGGACTATTTTTTAAGGAATGTTTTATTTGCAACCGTAAAAATCATTTAACTCACGCACAACTAACAAGCCAGCTGATTTGAAGCCAAAAGACTGGTAAAGTGCCGTTGCAACTAGTGACGCGTGTGAAACCAAATCGTTATTAGGAAAGCATATCACAAGCCAGCTTTTTTCTACATAGAAGATCCAAACAACGAAATAATAATAAAACCATGGCAAGTACAACATGAGTTTTCAAGTTTGCTTTTAATCTAAACAAGGTAATATAAGCTAAACATAATCAAAGATTGATGACAATGAAGGCAATTGTATTGCCACTACTCAAAGGATATTAATTTTTCGTTAGCTATTCAGGACATTGTAGCTATAAAAGATAAAAAACAGCTCGTACTGTTTTTTTATTTTTTCTTAGAAAATCCGAATACAGTGTCTACATTTACCGACTTGCTCTGGCACTTTACTGTAATTCTAATGTAAACGTTACTTAAAAGTATCAGATAAAACTATCTATAGCGTTATCTGATTCTCTAAGGTATCCTTCTCCATATAGCTATACACTCCTCAAAAAAATCGGGTAATTAATCATTAATTGAAATATGGCGAAAACGTTTGCTTTCGAGATCAATAGTAAACACTTTAAAAACCATGTAGAACATGTCCACGCTCGCGCACACAAACACACATACCGAAAAACTCGCAGAATGTTCCGAGATTCATTTCCAAAAATTCGCATCACAAGAGCTCGGAATTAACGAGTCAAGTAATTACACGATCAAAAAAGTCCGGTGCTTAATGGATTTTTTGGTTTAAAAATATCAGTTCAGTTTTTCTTAGCTAAAATCGTACAGTTCCGCCAATTTTTTACAACAAGGTACCGCGGAAGACAATTCTTCGGAAGTTGAGTATCATTATTATCATTATCTTCGGTCTCGATATAACAGATAGGTCTGCAAAGCCTGAGGTAATTGAAGACTCATCACTTTTTCTTCCAGTTGGGCTTTTCCTATTTTCTGTCTTATTACACGTCGACACAGATCCATCAGTGGGAGAGGTTCAGCTGAAACAAACAGAAAGATTATGTGTTTTCTTCATAAGTTCTACAAAGATAAATGGGAAAAGTGCTTTGTTGTAAGGAGCAATATACAAATGTAGAGATGATTAAGTTCACTAAAACTATTAGAAACTTAATCGATTGAAACTTTCTACTTTTCGCAAAAACTATTCACTAATATTAGATTTGCAAGAAAGTAATTTCGGTTTACGGTTTATTTTGTTACTCTTTTGTCAATGTTAGAATTTGTTTCTTCTCAGATTTGGTAGTCGATATTTCTTGCTACAGAAACAAATTCCATCCAATCTAGATTGATTCGTTCACAGTTGCCACTTTACGGTCAATTTTAACATGAAGTAAGCATTTTTAACACATTTCAAATTTTTTTTTATAAAGACAAGTAAGCGGCTGAGGTTCACAAATGGATATGTGAAGTCTGTGGTTTTGTTGAAATATTTTAACAGAATGCACGTGACAGAATCGGTTTAAATAATTTATTTTCGCAGATTTCTCACGCAAAGATCACCAACATTCTGGTCGACCTTCTGAAGTTGATGATGGCAAAATGAAAGCCATAATTGAATCGAATCACACCTAACAATTAAAAATCATATAAGACGTATTGGACTTGTTAAGAAGCTCGTTATGTGGGGTCCGCACGAATTGAAAGAAACTCACCTAACACAACGATAATTCAAATATAATGCAATCGATTCTTTTTTGAAAAGAATTATCACTGGCGATGAAAAATGGATCGTTTACAATCACGTTAATCAAAAAACATTTTTGTTCAAGTCATCAATAAACCAGCACAAACTATGTATATCAAAAGCTGAGTTGCATCAAAAAACATCACGCTGTCAATTGAGTGGGACAACAAAGGTGCTGTATGTGTTCAACTCAGAAGTTCACTGTCAATAACTTGTGAAATCAAAGCAATCAAAGAGAAAAGGCCAGAATTGGCAATTTATAAATAAATCGTGTTCCACCTCATCGATGTGAGTCAAAACGTACGGAACTTATGGAGCTTGGTTCTGAAGTGATTGACTTCCATCGACTTACCATTTATTCAAAAATTTACAAAATTTCTTAAATGGGAAAAATTTCATTAATAACAATTACTTCAAATCGCATTTGGTGGAGGGCTTTGCTAGATCATAAAGTTACCAGAAGGATGGCAAAAGGTCATAGAACAGAATCGAAGATATTTGACTGATTAAAGTTAATTTGTTGTATAGAAAAAATGAGTTTGATTTCACACTAACACCCCGAAAATACTTTCTTGCCAACTCAATATATTAAATGGTATATAAGTGAAAATACTTACGATCCAACCCTCCAATATACCGCATCGTAATTTCGCAATGTCCCCACACTGCGCTGACAATAGGATACAACTTTTTGCCCTTAAGTCCTCTAAATGCTATTCCTAGGTACTGGCCGTCGACTACGAAACTTAAAGTGCCCTCGTCCATGTCTAAGACAACCAAGAATTTGTCTGGCACTATGAAAGTTTCGTCTGGCTTTAACGACGCAGGATACAACGATCCTGAAGAATTTTTTGAATCGTGATAGAGTTTATTACGTCCTAGATCCCATCCCCAGGAGTTATCGGTACTGCCTACTAAACTATGATATCCTACAGAATGAAGTGGAGCGTCTGCGGTTGCCACCCCCACCACTGCGTGGGTACCTCGTTGACGCGTCGACCAACATATCTCCCAACAGTGCATACCCTGTAAAGAAAAAATATATATATTAGCTGATGTAAAGCCACCCAAAAACTGAAAAACCTTACCTTAGTAAAGCCTACTTTGCCTCTAATGCAATCGGTGCTTTGTGCTACAGGATGTCTGTGGAACGTTAACTTATCATCTTCCTTGACGAAGATATTTAGAGAGCGATCATCTTGATTCCAACTGTATTTTAGTTGCGTTTCCCTCAATGCAGTTGGCATATCTAACAACATATCTAATCGTGGGGGCCTGGCAAAGTCTTGTGCGAGTTCCCTGGGAATTACTGGTTTGTATGGGGCGGCTGCGGCGTCCCTGCCGTTGCCCGCCTTAACTCCGTTACTGACCTAAAATAAGAAAAAAAATAATATTTAATCATCTAGTTCACCATAATTTATTTATAACTGTTGATGAAAGCATTTTACATGTTTAGGATTTTGAATTTCGCGAAATAAATCGGCCATTTTCTTGATAAAAAATCTGAATTTTTCATTCAACACCAATTTTCATAAGAAATATAGCGGAGTGCACTTTGTGACAAATCATCTATTTAACTTACTTAATTTAGGAATCACTGAGTTATTTGCGATTTTCGTTTTCTTTGGCAAATTTCAATGGTTTTGCCAGGTAAAATTTGTGTATAGGGTGTTAGCATGAGTAATCAACAAACAAAATAATAGTTTTTGAGTAAATCAACAATTTTGATTACTAGCTCGACTACAATTGGGTTGTAGGTCGATTTTGAACACAAATTTGGCTTTTTGGAAGGATTTCAGAATAAAATGTTACAAGGTGTTTCCTCATCAATTAAGATAATTTATTTTAAAAAATTGAGAAAAATAGTAAATACTAAAGTTGTTCATTATTAATCAAGTTAAAATAAAAACTCGAAAGACGTAAATCTCTCTTTTTCATGGTACACCCTTTACACCCTTATTTGTGTTACATGAGGAAGGGGCATTATTTGAACCACGTATTCTAGGTACGAAAATAACCCTAGTTTGCTTTATAAACGATAGGCCAAAAATGCTTCGTTACGGATTTACAGGCGGTTGATAGTTAATTTAAAAATACAAAATGATAAATTTATTCAAGGCGCATGGAGATACTTATACGAAAGAAACCAATGGTTAGGAGAGACGCATGTTTTGTAAATAATGCAATATATCTTTTTTGTTTGGAGTGCATCAAGGGATTTGAAAAGTAATTGTAATAATTAAAAAATATAGTGGCATACCATTATTTCCTTATCAATTTCGGTAGTCTGCAGGTACGCACGGCACTGGCGAAATTTAGCAAAATTATTTCGTTGCAAAACACGCCTCTTCTCTAGCTATTCATCCCTCGAAAATTTCGTTTAAATATCGCAATGCGTTTTCAATAAATTTATCATTTTGTATTTTTTAAATCAAACTTCAGGCTAATGTAAACTAAAGGTGCTAAAGCAAACTAGGGTTGTTTTGGGACTTACAATACGTGGTTAAAATAATGCCCCTTCCTCATGAAAAACCTTGAACCTTCAGAAATGTAGAAAAACGATTTTGCGATCGGCAAACTATTAGAAGAAAGAAGAAAACATTGCTAATGAAGATGAAGAATTAAATATCTTATACGCCCACATAACGTTTGTCCCGGTAGCCCTTTTTTTAAATAAAAATTTTTATATCAGGAGTGGCCGAGCTGGTTTTATGTCAAAGCCCACTAATAACCGCGACTTAGCGCCTCGTGATTCTTTTCTCTGGGATTATTTAAAGACTATTGAATACATTGAGAGTGTGTGTGTGTGAGTGTAAAGTATCCGTCGGTTTACGGTGATGAAAAAGTCTGGGAGAAAAGTTTCCCCTGGACTACTTCAACATGTTGAAATTGACCTTTACGTTTTCTATTTTTTTATTTTAATTTCCGATTTTAAAAATCAGCGTAATGATAAACAACTTTTGTATTAACTCTTTTCACCATATTTTGATATAAATGATATTTTGATCTTTTTTTTTAATTAAATGTTTACATACATTTTAAGTGATCTATTTGAGTGGTGTCAACTTATGAGGAAACACCCTGTACCATGTTGATAGACTTTTTTGGAAAATTTACTAGTTTTCAGTTGATATTGATCGCAAACGGCGATTTGTTTGGGCATTTTTGAGAAAACTAACCATGTTGGTACTAGCTCGGCTACAATTGACTGTATCTCGATTTTGACAACAGTTTTGGCTTTTTGGGACGAGTTCCGCATAAAATGGGTACCATGTCGATGGGTAGTTTTTTCCCCAAAAAAACGGCAGAGTGCACTTAGTGACAACTTAAGTATGAATTCCTGGTTCTTACCTTCTGGCCCATGCTCATTCCACGAGCACCTCGTCTACCACGTGGTCCCGTCTTGGTACCACCAGAAGCAGGCACCACGGACGCCTTATACGCCCGCCGCACTTCAGCGGCGCCGCGGATGCCGCCGCCAGCCGCTTGGTGCGCCCCGGCGCCTGCGGCCCTGCCGCCTCTAAACTGATCAACTCTCAAACCCGCACCGTTTTCATGTCTGAAATCAAACAAACGCATTATTAAACAATGCCCGTTACTCCCAAAACACAATACAGTCAAAGCACATTTAAACAATAATCTCTTCTCTATTCCCTTCGGTTTGGAGCGAATGGAAATGAGGAATGTCGTTATTATTTCTTCGAGATATACGAGCACTCTTAATCAGTTAATCAAAATCTTTATTCCGTCTTTTTTTCTTAATTTTGAGTGTGAAATACCCAACAAACAAGTTTTCAAAACATCAATCCGCATCAACCCTATAGATTAAAAAAAACATCATATCACCAGTTCAATAAATTATAAAAATTAATATTTACATATTTTCGTTGATTCGTACTCTAGGCATGATGTAACCGAAGCCGAAGCTCGGTCAAAACTACCCAAAAAACATAAAATAACTACTGTTTCTCAATGAACACTCAACCAACTGAACAAGTGCACAACGAAAATCCTCTCGGCTAACTAAATGAAATTAAATGTGAAACCCTATTCTCTGGGGATAAACAACCAAAATTTTTTTTTAATTAGGCTATTATTGGTTAGCACCTAGTTGCGAAATACTATTGAATGGTTTTCTAATTCAGCGAGATAATTTTTTGAATATCGTTGAACGTTAATCGCCATGCCCGTCTCGTATCAACAAGCAAAATCACGATAAGACAGTGTCTTCGTATAACAAAACTAACGAATGGTAATTTCAGAAATCCAAGCCAATCCAATAAGATGAACCGACAAAATATTACCACTTCAACGATAATATAACAAAATATTCAGAGTTGAAAATCGAAGCTCCCCGTGATTAATAAGTATTATTTTGAAATGGTTCCAGTTTGATTGGAGTACTTAATTACGTATCTTTAATTCAAATTATGATTTTTTTAATTAAAAAATTAGTTAGGTACTCTTCTACAATTTTTTGATGAAAATACAAAGTGGCAACGGTGTTGCCTTGTCATTAACAGATTGTTCCAGGTAGATAGCTGTACAAAATTGCAGATTTATAACTTTTGACAAGAATAACTAGCATTTGCCAAATTGTGGTAAACCTTTTCGGTAATATGTTTTCCCAATTTTGTAGGCATTTCAATTAATAAAAATACCAGTTTACCATCTAGTTTTATAAATATCTAAACAATATGTTGTCAATTTTGAGTTATGCATAACTTAAAATATCTAAATATGTTCTTCTAGGCAGGTGGATGCGGTTAGTTTATTATTTATGCATATTAATATGGGGCATATTTTGCATAATTTAAATACGCATTATAGACGAAAATTATTAAATTTCTTATTATGTACCTAAATTTGAGTGAACTCTTGTTTATTATATATTGTTTATATATATTTAAAAGCCAATTAAATGATGTTAAAATATACAGGGAGTCCTATTTAAAAAAGTTAAGCCTGGCTTGTATATAAAAAACCATAACTTATTGAAAAAAACTAATTAAACCACTGGTTTATACGTGAAAACTCTACAAGCCTCTGTATATATCTTTACTACGAAACTAATATAGAGGATTTTCGAAAACAGAACAGGTTGCGAAAGACATCTAAATTTGAAAAAGTGTGGCATATATTTCCGCACATAACTCCTCAATATGACCAGTTCAAACCACACAAATCAACCAAGAGAAGAAACCAAATTCTAGCAGATGTATGCACAGCGTTCTTCTTTATTAGTCGGAATTCTGCGAAATTGCCAGAAAAAAACTCCACGTTAATTTACCGAATTTGAAAACTTCCAACAAAACCAAGTAAAGTTCTCTATATAAAAATCCATCTCAGCTTTAAACCTACAATATCAGTTATTTATTTTCCTAGAATTATGCAGGTGACCGTGGCCTTGACTTGCGTTGTTGGCCTCAAGTAAGAGCTACATCTGATCAAAATCCTCTCACTTGTGCTGTTATGTATTACTTGGAACCACTTTTGCTGTCGATTATTAGAGAGGTACTACGTTTCAAACAATCTATAGGACTATCGAACTAGAAAGTTTATTTGCACCAGAAAGTGTTACATAATGCTGATTCTCTCAGCATAAAAGCACGATTGCATCGTCGTGAGCAATTTTCTGAAACATTTGATTAGAGTTAGACAATTTTTATGAAGCTTTCTCAAACATGTAAAAAATGCATTTGTGTCTGGAAGAAATGTCAAATAAAAAACAAGGTTCAGAAATAGGTAGGACTGAAGAAAGTTAAAGAGAATATAAATATTAGAATAAAAAATACAATTAATATACATAGATGACACCACTTGCTTTCGACAATTTGTTAAGACCCTCGCTTCTTGGAAGAGCTTTCTTTTTAATCCTAAAGAAAATGGCAACAGTTTCACGACAAAAATTTAAAGAAATCGAGTTCCAAAATGTAGAGGAATTGGTGAGAGACACATATTTAACATTTAGCTTAAAAATTGTAAGTAAAATACTTCAATTTGAAATGAACTTTTAAACAAAGTTTTACACATGTTTTCCTAATACCTTCACTGGTGCTATGGCAAAAAAAGTGATGTGATTTTTTCGGAATTTAGTTTAGCGAACCAGTCAAAAGCCTATGCCGATTAACGATTACCTTTAATATGTTATGACTTTTATCAATTACTTTTGGATTTATCAAATGAATTCATGTTGTGTTAAAAAATATAACTACTAGGCTCGAAACAAATAGGTACATGCAATTTCATAGTTGGAATTGAACAAAGTACATGACAAGATTCTACGGACAAGAGATCTACTTCCTTGATAACGAACCAGATTAATCAATATTGGGAGACAAACGATTTATCTTTCTGCAGTTAATTAAATAACGCTTAGGAAACACTTAGCCTAACTTGTGGGGCCTAAACAACAACTTTTTAAACAGATAGTATTCATTGATATTTTGGATGAATTATCTAAAAGGAAATTCAACATGTTACTATTTTCAAAACTTTTTTGTTAGCTATTACAACAATTTACTCATAGACTCTCTCTTAGATATGACTGTAACAGATTTGTTATCGAAAAGTCAAGAAAACTTTACATAATTCCGTTAATTCGTACTCTAGGCATGATGTAACTGCAGGATCGCGCCAAACTGTCCAAAAACACACAAAATAACTACTGTTTCTCAATGAACACTCAACCACTTGTGCACAACGAAAACACTTTCGACTGACTAAATGAAATTAAATGTGAAACCCTACGCCCTTCGAATGAAAACAACCAAAAGAAATTTTAAGAAATTAACCCCCAATTGTAGCACCTAATTGCCAAATACTATTGAATTGCTTTATAATTAGAAAATATAGGAGATAATGTAGTATAGAGTAGTTCGCACCTAGTTGCGAAATAAGTACAATCGAATGCTTTAGCCGCTATGCCCGTCTGGTATCAACATGCAAAATCACGATAATACAGTTTCTTAGTATAATAATACTAAAAAATTGATTTGTTGGGTTCCCATATTCAAATGTCGCTATGTTCAAAACTATTAAATTCAGTCACATAGTATGTTATACAAAAAATACTTGGAATTCAATACATGACCTGAATCTGGATTAAAAAGTCGGCTATTCCATTTAGAAAAATTAACATGACTGTCATAACTTTATTTTGAGCTACCCTGCATACTTTAGTAAATAAGAATAAAATACTTTGGCGACAACCGCAACACTTTTCTATGAACGTTTTTTTTTCTGTCGCTATTTCAATACGATCTAAGAGGGGGTGTAGCTTCGCTATGTCACCCTGTATCAGTTTTGCAATAATGGAAAATCCAGTGACAAAGAAAGTGCAAACGTGTTGTGTTCGCAACTGTATAAATGTCGGTAGGCGGCATCGCATTCCAAAGAATCACCCATTCTTTTAATTTATCGAATTATTATATTTGTAACTACGACATCCTTCAATATATTTATAAAAATACCTTCCAATCAAAGGCATGAGTTCAAATGCAGGTTTAATCAGGAATTGCAGTTAAGATGGTAACGCACGTGTAACTTTCGAGCAAATAAAACACTTGTAAATATGTTGAAATGGCCAAGAAAACACGTAATAAAATTAGCATGCAGATACAGCAGAACACATACTAAAACAGTTCCTTTCCCGTCGTTTCCATTCAACATTGTCGTTGTGATGGCATTGACGATTTTCATTAACTATCTAACCGATCTGCAAACATCTGTTGTGTGCTGATCGTCACTCTTGAATACATCATTCATTTCCTGCATATCTTGGCCGGTACCAGCAAACCTTTTTATATAACACTTTACTTTAGGTACATATTGAGGAAAAAAGTGATAGAAATGAGAAAATAAAATTCAACTCACGATGCAAAACACCTGCAGATATTATAGGAATTGCGTGCTGGTCTGACTCATAAAGGAATAAGTAATCGAATGGATTTGAGGGAAAATTTTGCTAGTTCTTGGAACCAGCTAGTTAAAAACGCATTGATACCAAGTTCAAAGTTTGTGAGTTTTATTTCAGGTAGAAAGCATACGTTATTAATGTTCATCAATAGCATGTAGAAAACCCCATTGAATCTGCAAACGCGGATTTTCCAAAATTGACACCAAAAAAAGTGCGAGAAACCTGCATTGTATCTCGGCCAATGGATATTTAGGTACATCAAAATATTTAGTCCCTACTTTCGACTTCTAATCTATACAGGGTGTCCGAGAACAAAATAAAGACAATTCTAGAGATGATGAAAAGCTAGTTTAAATTTTAGGGAATTCACAAAATGCCGTTGCAAATATTATGCGCGGTCATTTCGTAAATAGTCAGATGGGGATACCAGAAAGCAAAGGAATTATAATTAAAAATTTCAGTGTTGACCCTCACAAACGTACCTTCCATGTTTGTCATTAAAATATCATTTTTAATTCTAAATGTTGATATAAATACTAAAAAAGAACTCATGCCAAAAACCGATCTTGGAAAAAGCACACTAATGAACCATTTTTGATAATACAAACAACATGAACATTCTGTTTATTCTGAATTTACTG